ACATTGTCTAATGGATATTGGGGCTCGGCCTGATTATAGAGAAAAATGAGTTTTCGGGGCTTAAGATCAGGCGTTAGGCGAAGAGGTCCAAGGTTGGCCAGGAGACATCCCAATGGGGAGTCTGAAGGAATTTTGTACCGTCCATCTCCCATGGTGAAGGCCTGACCTGAGTAGAGGACATGAAGGGCATCCTCGAGATATCGATTCCTCAGGAGAGAGTAGAGGTGGAACTCCCAGTCCATCTGGGAGTCACTGGGGGCCCACAGTCCTAGGGGACCCGGCCCCCAAGGACAAGAGAGAGAGCTGAGACCCAGTGCTAGGATTTCAAGGAAATGAGAAAGTGAGATCACAGCTCTGCATGCGAGGAGGACTCACCGAGAGAAGGACCTTGAGGGAGGATTGGCCGGTGGTGGATGGTGATTGGAGGCACGCTGGGGCAGAGGAAATTCCCTGTGAACAGTGAAGGTGTCTTCTAGGATCGGGGGTCCCAGCTAAACAGCTCAAGTCCCAGAGGAAGGGAATGGGGAGTTTAGAGAGAGAGTGAGAGGGCGGGATGGGGGAGGGAGGCTGGGAGAGAAAGTTGGTGGCGGGAGCTCACCCAATCTGAGTCACGGCACCAAATGTTAGGAAAAACACTGCCTGCAAAGAAACCTCACAAGAAAAATCTCAGGTCCAAGACCAAGGTTTGGCACAAGCCACCAGGCTGACCCAGGAAAGATGGCGCAGCACAGACTAGGCTAGGCGTGGATTTTATAGAAGAGGGAGGTTAAGGAAGTTAGTGCATGTGCGGGAGTCTCCAGTAGGGGTGGAGCTTGTTTTAGAGCAGGGGAATTTCTGTTTAAGCAGAGCTGCCTGGTGGGGGGCTCCATTTCTCAAGTGAGGCCTAAGGATAAAATGGCCATGGGTTTACAAAATGGTGACATTATTGTTCTATCAGTGATGGTTAATCTTTATTGTCAACCTCATTGGATTGAGAGATACCTGGAAATTGGTAAAGCACACTTCTAAGCAAATTTCCAGAGAAAACTGGTATTAGATATCTACCTAAGCAGGGAGGATACAGCCTGAATGGGAGGGACGACATTCAGTAGGCTAGAGGCTCAGATGGAACAAGGAGAAACTCATCAGGGAAGGCAAGCTTGATTTCTCTTGGATGGATACATTTTTTGTTGCTTCCATCACCCAAAGACATCAAATTCCAGATTCCTCGGCTTTTGAGTGCAGATTCACACCAGTGACTCTCCAGGGAGCTTCCCACAATTACCAGCCCTAGCCCAAATTCCCTTTTCCTTTGTCTTGTCACATTTTCACAATTCATCATTCTTTGTTAAAATGGCATGTTAGTTCTGAGGCCTATTTTTGTAGCTCTTCACTTATTATATATGAAAGACTCTGTGTACATGTAGACCTATTAACACAAGTAAAATGTGTATGCTTTTCTTTCGTTAATCAGCCTTTTGCCTGTTTAATTCTCAGGCCCAGTCACAGAACCTAAGAAGGCAGAGGAAAGGTCTTTCCTCTCTTACTGCAGTTTACTTTTTCTTTTTGATTTGTAGGCATTTGCTGTTAGACAAGTTGAGAATATTTTATTCTAATCTCCAACATTCTTTATGGAATAGGATACCATTTTAAGGTATGGTACTTTTTGTTGTAATTATACTTTTTGTTAAAATGTAAAGCAAATCATCCCTATGCTAACAGATAAATGATTTGAATCTTCTTTTAATACAATTGTAGCTCTGGTTCACAAATTTAGGTTTCTAATCCACTTGGAATTTTTTAGGATGATGTAAGCCTATTCAATATACTATTGAATAGTATGTCTTTTATCCACTTATGTGAAATGCCTTATTTGTTAAACATTGAAGGCATACAGGTGTTTTTTGTTCCTTCCTGAGTTCTGTTTTTTTTTTTTTTTGGTGACACTGGAGTTTGAACTCATGGCCTCACGCTTGCTAGACAAGTGCTCTACCACTTGAGCCACTCCACCAGCCCTCATTTTCCATAGGATATTTTTTTGTAAGAACTTAAGTAGGAACTTGTTAATGTTATAAAAAGTACCAATAATAGACTGAAACAAATGTCCACTTTAATACTTATCACACAAATGTTTACTTACACGTATCTTAGAATTAGAAGAGGACAATTTGTGCACGTCACATTCATATTACTATCCATATAAGAACAAATACACATCATCATTTATTCACCTGTATCAGGATAACACACAAGGTTTCGCTTGCTTTAAGCTTCTCAGTTAAAGGAGACATCAAATAATTAAAACAAGTGTCTAATAATTCATCATTAACAATATAAATAATAATTATTTTTAAATGCCTTCTATTTTGACAAGTTTGAATACACTTACATACTTACATTTCCAAAAGGCATAAATTACAAGAATGGTCACTGTCAGGGTGAAAATATATATTTTAAAAGATTTTTTAAATGTTATTATGCTTTAGCATTGTTTGATTTATTGTTGGCACATGTGGCATCTTGGAAAGTAAAAATACACTTTGCCAGTTTTATGTGTTGTGTAGTTATAAGAGAAAGAGCACAGTTTGGGGGCAGGCAGACCTGTGTTCAATTACTAGCTTCAACACAGTCCATGTTGTGTGAGACTCATTAATTACCTCTTGTTGCTGGAACCAGGATTTAATTTAAAAATACGTATTTTAAAATGTATAGAATAGGTACTCAATGAATGTGTATCCTTTCCCCAATTTATTTCCATTTTATTCACATGGTAGCAGTAGTAAAATATCACAGTCTTATGTTGAATTACAATTGGAAAAACTGAAAACACTGGGAAATTTAAAAATAATGTCTATGTATTCTGAAAAAAATCACTTTTAGTAAATAATGAAATCCCTCAGCAGGAAAAACTATTTCCTAATAAAAAGTAATGCCTACTATACCCTGATTTTAAAATAAATACTAAAATATGATAAGATGGACAATGGTTAAGGACTTTTGGTTTCCTTTTGTGCTATTATATAAAAATAATGGCTCTATTTAAGGCTCTTTAAGTGACTGTAGTTGCCCTGAACCAATCTATATTCTTGGTGTGGCGCTATCAATTGAAACAGACCTACTGCCTTGAAGACCATCACAGAACACTCTCATGATAGTCTATATTTGAACTAATTGTGGCCTCCTTTCCGACTCTAAAGGTTCATTTGGTGGCCTGTGGCAGTTCACGTCATGTCATTAAGGATTACTCATACACACAATCACAATCCCATCTTTCTCATGCTAAATACATGGTGCTTGGAAGAAATGGGGCTCCTAAAAGTTAAATTTATATTGTTACAAGGAATAGACTCTCTAAAGAGGAATGCTTGCATTCCTATTCTTGGATTACAATTTTTGTTTCAAACCCTGACCACCTAACAAGTCATACTTCCAAGTTTGACTCAAAAACCCCTCCTCCTGAAAAACTGCCCTAACTCAACTTCACACCCCTCCCTTTATGTCCCTTACACTCATGCATAATTTATATTAACTTCAACTTCTATATATGATTACTCATGCTTTGTGTGCCTTCGACTTCTAGCTATAATGTTGTCTCTGATTGTTTGAAGCTTCCACAGTGTTTAGCACAGTATGTATATGCATGTATGTAAATGTGGGATGTGTGTCTCTGTGTTTGTATGTGTGTGCTGAAAGAATTAAAAAAAACTAAAGAATCTGGGCGTTTGCAGGGTAGAAAAGGTTACAAGGTTACAAAATCTGACAGATTTTAAAATTTATTTATCTTTTTTTTGGTGGTACTGGGTTTGAACTCAGGGCTTTGTGCTTGCAAAGCAGGCAATGACAAAGCAGGCATTCTACCTCTTGAGCCACACCTACAGTCTCTTTCCAGTATTAAAAGGTCTTATTTCCAAAGCTGCATCATCAGTTTGCTTTTAGATATGTCAATAATAAAAAGGCAGTGGAAAAAACTATTTAAAAAACTTTTATGAAAAATTCCAAAAGGCTTTTTGATAAATTATTATTAAGAGCACCAAACTAAAACATTTTACAAAATAGTGGTTCAACCTTGCCTAAGACTTTATGAATGTAGACTTGTTTTCATTCAAGACAAAGAATACTGAACAGGAATAGGTGTTGTGAATCAGGATAAAAAGGCAATTCACTCTAGGTCAATATCTAATGCACATTTGCAATTAATTTAAAAATTCTTCTGTGGTACATATATATGTTATGCTAAGTAAAAGAATGATTTATATCAAGATGTCATGGATATCGACAGTTGTTTTGATACTGAAAAACATGACACAATACTGAAGTTCCTACTTAACAGGAAAACATTTTGCTTATAATAGCTGTCAATATTAAAATAGGATATAATAAAAAATTGTTCTCAGTATGTATATTTTCAAATTTGCCTGACAGTGTCCTTTTGATATATCTGACAACTTTTAGTTAGATTACATACATTTGTATTTCACTTTTATGATTAAAAATATTAAATATATAACAACAATATGTAGTAGCTTGTGGCTGAAGCACTCTGCAATTTATATTTAAAGCTTTGCAATAAGACAAAATTCATTGTACTTTTCATAAGTTAAATTACATAGCATATAATGTATGCTGTAATTACATAAATAATAAATAAGAGTCTAAAAACTTCAGGACCATAATCATGGGATATTCTAGCTATCATTCTAAATGTTAGTTTATATATTTGTATTGAGTTCTGAAGTATTTTGAACCCAAGAAACTTTATCTTTAAATGAAATACTAAAACCATATAAACTAAAACTAAAATTATATATGCCCTTTTCCTTAGGTGACTTAGGAAACAGAATATGAAAAATGGTCAAGGACAGATCTTTCTCTTGCTATGAAATGCCTCCTTGCTCCCTGTATATGCCTACTGCATTTCTAGAGCAAACATAAGATGATGGCTTTGGCAAATTATACGCTTATTTAAGTTGTTTCTTACTTGGAAGAATGAAAAAATTTAAATGAAGACCTTTCTTTTTTTGGCTTATTCATTCTCAATCTTTAATATGCAATAACTGTATAAAAGCACTTCTTGAAAGGCTCACTATTAACCATTTTAAACAGCACAAAATGAATTGGGTTAGTTTACATAGTTAATGAAAATAGATTATTATTATAGATATTAGGGTGAGGTCCTAGAGTTTGTTACACGTAGGGCTAAACTTGCAAGAGATCGCATGGCAAAGGTAGACACTTTGTGACATATCCCAGCTTTTGAAATATAGTGAGAAGCCAATCGAAAAAGCCTTTCAGCACCAAAGGTATTGAAGTGCCCTGGAAGCACCTTCTCCACCAGACCTCTGTCCACTAATTCTATTAGACGTTCACAAGTTCCAACGTAGTCATTTATCCTGCTGTATGGAAGCCAGTCAATCAGTGATCCATCATACACGACGTCTCCACTGAAGAGAATCTTTCGGTCTTTGTCATGCAAGCAAATACTGCCCCTGGAGTGACCTGGCATGTGCATGACAGTGAGCTGTCTGTCACCAAGGTTGATCACATCCCCTACAAATGGGAACAATTTATAGATTAATTTGAATTATGAAATTGTGTATTTGACTTCAATCATTAAAAATAGAATATTAAATAGTTTCAAAGAAATTAGGAAGAATGACACATCTTACTTTTATTCCAGAAATACTATATCTCATAATGACTTCTATCGTTTGACAGACCAATATCTGCTAGGACAAGTGTTTGCCAAAGTGAGCAATATGGTACACTACTTTTGCAGGCTGTTATGGTAAGTTTTTAAAAAGAAGATTCTGTGTTAAATAATTGTGAGGACACTTGCTTCAAAGAAAATTAAGCAATTTTCTTTTCTGCAGGATTTCTTAGAGCTTTTGATATACCAATGACTATTCAGATATACATAAAGTAAATGCACTTGTGCAATTTCTTAAACTTATTTAGTCATGAAACTTTTACTTTTCAGAACAGCCATGTACCAGTGTCCTATTGACACAATTTTGTGAATGTTGCTGTAGTGAATTATATTATATTTTGCTCATTTTTGTGTCAACCTGTGGGAATTGGGAATCGAGGAATTGGTATATATGATGATGATCTGATTAGCTCTGTTACTGTGAGTAATAAACTATCCTTTTTTTCTGACCCAGGAATCTCATGTCCTCTGTCAAAATCTACTAAACTGCTGCAGGCTAACTTTTACCTTGCAAGCAGAATAAAATGTCAGACTCATCACAATTAGTAAGAGGAAATGAAGCTTATATGGGGACAGAATTGCTGTTTCACTGGAGTGAAATCAGTAGTAACTTGAAAGAAATCATGATATTTTAAATACTCATATTGTAGTCTCCATTGTTAACACACCATGGGAAGAAAATCAAAGAAATATGCTAAAAAGTTAATAGAGGAATTAAATGACATATTAATTGGGATTTGTTAAATATAAAAGGAAAACAAGAAAGAACAGAGGGATTAAAAAATAGAAGTGAAATATAACAAAATAGCAGTCCTAAATTCAAACGTATCATGGCATGAAGGCATAGCTCAAGTGCTGGAGCATCTGCCTAGCAAGCACAAGGTCCTGAGTTCATACCCCAATACTGAAAAAAAAGGACACCATAAAAAAATGAAAAGCATGCAGCATACTGGAATAAAATATTTGAAAAAATACCTATTTGATAAAGGACTTATATCCAGAATATATAAATTAAAAATTCAATTTTTCAAAAGAAGGAAAGGTTTTAATAGATTTTTCAGCAAAGAGGCAAGCAAGTACCTGAAAAGATGCTCAATGTTTTTAGCCATTAGGGAAATGCAAACTCAACCCTAATGAAATACCACTAGTATTCACAGAAGGGCTAAATTTAAAAGGACTGACAAAAGCACATGTTGACAAGGATATGGAGAAATTGGAATTCTTATAGACTGCAGCTGGGAGTGTAAATAACAATATTTTATCCATACAATGGACTGTTTCTCAACAACAGAGGAATGAATTATTAACACATGCAACAACATATGTAACAGGTGCTTAAAAACTGCTTTTGCTGAGGAGCACTGACTTCTTGCTTGGGCCCATAAATTAACTAAAGGCTGGAAACAGATGATTGTGATGCCCCTTTTCCACAGAACTGGAAGAAACAAATTGACAGTGGGAAAAACATGACCAAGATTACTAAAGAGAAAAACTTTCAGCTTGTGTGCTGGTCAATTTACTGTTTGTTACTCAAACTGACATTTTTTTCTTACTTTTTCTCTCTCTTACTCTCTAACACTCTTTGTTCTCTAATTAAACCAAGAAATCTCTTCCCCCCTATCTCTTTCTGACCACCAAGAAGGAGTATACCTATCAACCAAGGCATACAGTGGTGCCGGTAAACCAAGAGAACCAAGGCCAGCATCTATTGTGAAACATGTGTTTTATCATGTACTTGAACTGAGCCTCTAAACGCCCCTTGAAAAGCAGACATTTTCTCTCAGAAGTGGAATGACAGAACTTTGAGAGGTTGACTCTCTGTCCTACTCTTTGTCTAATTAATAGTAAACCTTATCTCCTTTTCCTCTAAACCTTTTTCTCCTTATTTCTGAGTTGGAATTGAGGCCAGGGGACTGGTTTCTGGTAAACATGGATGAATTTTCCAAACAATCTACCACAGGGAAGAAGGAAGACATAAAAAACTGTACATTACATGATTATATTTACAGATATCAAAACTATAGTAACACCAAACAGATCATTAAGCCAGGAGTGGGAGTAGGGATAGAAGACAGAGGAGAAGAAAGGAACTTTTGGGGGATGATGACAGTGTTTCCAAGCTTGATTGTGGTTATGGCTGCCTGCATGTACCTATTTCCTAAAATTTAACAAACCATATACTTAAAATGGGTGCACTTTATGGGGTGTAAAAATATCTTAACAAAGCTGAGTAAAAGGATAGAATAAGTAGAAGCAACTCAAATATATATCAATGAGTGAATGGGTAAGTAAAATGAGCACATACTCATAAAATGGAGCAACAAAACCAAATGAAGCACTGATCTATGCTCTAATTTGGATGAACCTTGAAATCATTTGCTTAAGTAAAAGAAGCCAGTAACAAAGGCCCATACTTTGAAAAGTTCCATTTACCTGGGTCGGGGGGACGGGGTGTGTGTGTGAAGGACAGTGATGACTAAGTGGTATGGGGTTTCCTTTGGGAGATCACAGAAATGTTCTGAACTTGGTGTGGTGACAGATGCACAACACTGGCTATATTAAAGTCATTGAATTGTGGCTTAATTGTGGTCAAGAGGGTAAACTGTATGGTATATGAATTATATCTCCATAAAACAATTAAAATATATGTAATACAAAATTTTGCAATAATTTATAAGATAAATATAATACTTTAAATACATTTTCTAAATGTAATACTTAAATTCATTTTTCTAAGTATGCTTGGTACTTCCAGCTTCTGCTGTGCAATCCTTGGGATTCACATTCCTCCTTCTATGATTTTAGGATTAAAGAACTCCCTTGCTATTTGAAAATCATCAGTATTTAACAAAAAAAAAAGGCGACCTAAAACTATGACTAAAATTTTATAGCAAATAGGGGAGCAGTGGATGGAATTTCATTGTAAAGTTACTAAATTTAATCTTACCAGCAAAAATTCTTTTGGGTAGTTCACTAATCAATCTTGCCCACAGTTCCAGGATTAAATTTAATAGTGTAGTATCCTGTAGTGTGATACTTTATTCTCATAGGTAGCATCCATTGGGGCAAAAATATTCAAGGGCTTTTATCTATTTTCCTTAGAGCCTTTCCAAAAACATCAAATTTCCAATTACTTGCTTTTGAAGAGGGCATTTGTGCTGTTATCTGTATCTCATTTTCTTTCTTCCACTGATGATTATGTCTGTACAACAGTGTTACTCAAAGAGTGATCTGAGGACCAGTAAGATCAGTACCAATAGCAGCAGTAATAGCTTTCCAGGTGGCTTTTTTAAATGCATACTATAGATGAAAAGCAAATCCTATCCAGATTTCTAGTAAGAATCATCTGTGGTGCTTGTTACACATGCACATTCCTAATCCTACTCTAGAGTTTATGAGTTCCTAGGGAAGAGTCTCTGGAATTTGTATACTGAACAAGAAACTAAGGCAATTCTCACTATCAGTGAACAATGACCTATACCAGTTGTTTTCAAATTTTAACATGCATCTGAATCATCTGTAGGGCTTGTTGAAATACAGACTGTGGCTCCCGCCCCAGTTTCTAATTTGGTAAATCCATGGTAACATCCGAGAATCTTCATTTCTAGTAAGTTCAAGGCAATCCGGAGTCTGATTAATCTGGGAGGGCACTTTGAGAACATTGCCTCTTCAGTGATAACAACATGTAGAGAAGGATGAAGTAAGTGGAAGTACTTCATACTGTACTACACAATGCATGCAATGTAATTCTGTAAAATAACCCATCACTGAAATTGTGCTATACAGAACCAGTGCATCAGAATCACCTGGGGATTCTTTTAACAATAAGGCTTTCTTTGTCCCACACCAATCCTACAGCATCAGAGGTTTGGGGTATTAGAGCCTCAAAACTGTTATTTCCCCAAGTGGGTGGAACCATGGTCATGCCTAATGGTTTTTCTGACTCCAAGCAATGTGTAACCATGGTCTAAAGGCTTTAAAAGCCTTTTTTTTTTTTTTTTACAGTGCTGGTGATCGAACTCAGGGCCTTATGCATCCCCGGCAAGTGCTCTATCACTGACTTACAACCCTAACCCCCTTGAAAGCCTTCTGAGTGTACTGCGAGGATAACAGAGCAAGAAGCCTGGGTCCTCACATATATCTTGTGTATATTTCTATTTCAGGGCAAAAAACCATTTCATTTGCTGCTGCATCTGCTTATCTAGTCTTGTCTTAATTTTGAGATGGTATTAGACACTCCCAGATTTCTCCACATTCCATTCCTAAGGGCCAGATGGCTTCTCCAGGATTAGCCCAGATTTAAAGTGCCTCTGAAGATTAAAAAGCATTTCATTTACTGTTTGATTGGCAGGTATGTCAAAGAAATTGCTAAATTGATTTAATAACAGAGCTGCTGGAGACCAATTATTTAATAAATTTATAAAAAGACAAGGGGTCAGGGAAATTTTATCCTAGAAATGCTGGAATAGAATATCATGGAGAGCAGATTCTGAGAAGCCTATGAGAACTGGACATAAGCAAGGCGAGATGCAGCTCAACCGCTTTTTCCTAAGATGTTTATCTGTAGGCTGAGATTGGCACAGCCCCAGCCACAGAAGGAGAAGATGCAGAACAGCTGCTTTTCCTAAGTTGTTTACATTCAGAGAAGCGGGAATGCAGGTTTCTCCTGTTACAATGTCACGCCCCTTGCAGAGAACCGCTGCTCCACCCTGTTTACCACTGGATATAAAAGACTTGCTGAAAGAGGACGTAAGGCTTTTTGCTTTGGGGGCTTTTGCTTTGAGGTTTTTGGGCTTTGGCTTTTGGGGGTGGGAGGCTTTTGGAAAGGAAAAGAACTGCT